GGGAAAGAGGAGGAAGTGGAGCAGGGGTGGAGGAGCAGCAGGAGTGCAGTTCTCCTAGGGCACTAGCTATTGCTTAACCAATTTAAGTATTTAAAACATGAATCTGAGACAAGAATTAACAGTTAAAGTTTACAAAATAATGTAATGACACAGCAATCACTTCAACCTTACACTGTATTACAATAAAAGGTAGCAAAATCAAGACAGATGACGAAGAAAACAGATTTGTCCTATATCCCCACACTTCCATCCTATGTAGTAAGCAGGGCTCCCTTCCCATTCTTTGATGCTGCTGTTGCACAGTACCTCGCATTTCCCTGTGTTCTGAAGCGTCTTCATCCCCACTCTGTTAAATCACTAACTCACTTATCCTTTCTAATGCTGACATTTCAACTTTCACCCATGGCCCGAGCACCCCACACCTGGTTATCTGCAAACAGTGCAGTAGCGCTCACTGGCAGTAGCCACCGAACCAGCCATCACAGAACCACAGAATGTTAGATGGATAACGTCCCCTGGCTCAGCAGAGATCCTAATAGTGTGTCTCCCTCCCAGTTTGCTAATTAAAAACTATCGAGAGGAATGTAGTGGTTTCTGGATCTTCATATCAGTGTAAAATTTTGTGTAGTCATTGGAAATGACAGTTACTAGGGATGAACTGACAGCATGTCTGACATAAATGATCTATTATTTTCAGAGTGACATTGACTAGCTGTACTATACCACAGGATCTATACTAGTCTGAAGTTGACATTTAAATAATCAAATCTGAAGCTGAGTTTGTAGCATTCTTTTTCTCAAAGAAACAAAACAATAAAACGATGTAGAGCAACACCTGATTAAAACATGTAGGATCTGACTTGCAGCTTTATTTTTTTCCCTGAAAATACACACACAAAAAGAACATTGAGCTCATGTTAAAGTGTAACTAAATGTTTGGTGTTATGTTTTTGTTTTTTTTTAGAAAAGCATCCAAAAAGAAAAAGCTATGATACAATAAATTTCCAAAGTTAAATGTATGGAAAAAAAATCTAATCTTTTGTATCCCTTGACATGATTTTGGAGGCCACAGGAAGTGCACTATATATTTATGTTTCTTGAGGCTTCAGCAGAATGTGTAGTTAATCTGAGTTTTCAACAGAACTTAAAGGA